CTGGCTGCCGAGGTCTTGGGATGTGCTTCCCGTGAGCCACGGACGTACTGTCCGGAGATGCGCCGCCTGCAGAAGGCCAAGAAGGGCTCTACCCGCGGGTGCTCTCGAAACCAGCTAGATTGGGCGTTTTGCGTGTCGTAGACACAGGGCTCATAGAGCAGAGAATCTTTAAAGTTATTCGTAAAAGCCTGAAGGTTTCTTAGACTCGCGAGTTTCGTCCGTGGCGACAGTTAAATGTGAATTGTGGGTGTTCGCCATTTAAGAGTGTGACGTGGTTACACGTACCCTGGTATGAAGAAGTAGGTCACACAAGATGGTGCGACTATACAATGACTACAATGATGTGGCTACACCGTAACAAGAAGCCACTAGGTGGCTGGACTACCAGTAGATTTGCATTTTAGCTGGGTTTTACTATTTAATCAGGAAAGCCTTTAGATTTAGACATAGGCGGTTTTGCCGTAAATGAAACAAAGAAATACAGTTTATATTTTGAACGGAAGACTTAATTGGCCTTGGGTTAAGGTTGTGGTGACTCTTGGAGTAAGCGGATTGCGCTCCTCTACACTCGTACTGGTTCTAGTACAAAACTTAAGGTCGGTGACCTTAGCTAAGCTTCCTAAAGCGAAAGAGCAACGGCAGCCCCGCTACAGTGTGGGCGCGTTTATGATAAATGGATTATTTTACATCTGTTATCTTCTACAAGTGCATTTACACATTCTCAAACAGATTATGAGCCAAACCACGAGAGTTGTTGTCAAAACTTCACCACCCGGACCAGCTGAAACCATCAATGATTGCGGCTTTTATCACCGTCTTAATGGATAGACGTACTTACCTTCCACGAATTTGCCTCAAACTCTGGAGGAACCGGAGCAGTTGCATTACAAAAGGCGCATAGACAAAGTGTTTAAGGGCCTTTTTTGGGTGGGAGAGTTTGGATGCTAATTCATCCATTTGACCGGCACCCTATTCTCAAAATGGGTTTGAGTACGTCCCTTGCGACATTTTTTTCTGTTGGTAGAAAAACCCTGTAATTTTGTATGGAATATCAGACTGAAGAAATATCAGCATATGCCTTCTAAAATGGACACCATTTTAAACAATCACTAAATATCGAAAAATAGTATTTGTGAAGTTCCATGGAAACGATCTGTGCGTTTGGTTTGGTAACAAATATTTTTGGTGAACAAGAAAGGTGTTTGACTTAAATTTGCAGAAAGAGCACAAGCAGCTGCATAAGCAAAAACAATTAGGTAGGTGCTTGAAGCCAAATCTGTTTCGAACGTCGCAGTGACATGATCACCGCAAAGTTGAATAGTGGTAACTTAGAAATCTTCGTAATATGCAATGCAGTATTTGTTGCAGTCTTTTGCGACAAAAATATCTCAGCTCAAGGTGTTAAAATGTTGACTGACCAAAATTGTGCGTATTGAAGTAAAATATCCTATTGATACTGAGTGAGCGTACGGAAAGAAGCATAAAACCGAGAGCAATCTATTATTATCTTGATTTATTGTTCATCGTACATCTCTTAATCGACAGACTGTAACTCACGGTCAGAGTCTAGCGATAGATTTCGAATAATTTGTGGCATTATCTGACATTCACAAATTTTTCGAATGAAACATTCTTCATATCAAAAATCAGATTTGCTTTGGGTATTAGACGGAAAAGAGTTCTTGATTTTGCGTGATGGAAATGTGTTTAATGTACGTCGAGATAAGAAAAAACGTGGTTGAAAACTTTTATATTGCAATAGCCATGGTTATGGCATTCAGACGAAATTCAATTGCGGGATCACAATGTACGAACTCTCCCCAAAACGCAGTGGTGCACCACAAGCAAGAATTGTTGCTTCCAGCCATTCCTAAAAATACCCAATGCAATGTTCTGGCGTTTCCATCCCTCGCTTTATTTTTGGCATCGCATAAATGCTCTTTAGATTTATAAATATTGTCTAAGCCACCCCATCATGCGAAAAAATATGCGGCATGCGGCTTTGACTAAAGTCACACGAAGTTGAATTGGAGAGGCTTTTTGCCGGAAAAATGTCAGAGACGTTGTAATTTCTGGCTGTCGATGCGCTGGATATGCTCGGTTCGATAACAAGTCTGTCAGCCAGCGAGGAAAGGCACGATCATACTTTTGAATTGACAGAAACAAAAGGTTCATGGTCTACATCTCAGGTTGACTGACCCGGGGCGCAGGCGGCTAGTCACTTGGCTTGGGACCGGGCGGCTCCTGGTTTGATACCCATAGGATCCAAAGTAGAGAAATTGGACGAGCAATCCCACTTTAAAAGTGTGTCGGCCACGTTAACCCGTACCCAGATAGGTGTGTCATAGTTAAGTGACCTGGAGACCCAACTGACCAAAATCGGCCCACAATGTCATAAAGAGGCACGGAATCCGACCCCAAAAAGGGTCGGATAGCTACCAGCATCCTGCGCTAGAGAAATCTTAATACTAGCGTGAGGGTATCGGTAGCTTAAACCGCTACATTTCAGATTGAGAGGTTCTGTTGTCGTGCAGCATATCAAGTATATTGAACGCTTCGCGTCAAACAAATATTGATATAATCAAGACGTTTGGACGATGCTGTGGCTCAGGAAGAGCTCTTGTGGTTTCGGATGACGAGAAAAAGGAAATCGTCGAATGCGCAGAGGAATTCAGAAAGGAACGCTATACAATGGCAAGTTTCGTAATTGAAGCATCACATAAGAATTTCTCGATGGGAGAAGCCGAAGATGTATCGAATCTGGTTCGGCACCCAGATCAGAATTTACACACCGCCATAACGGTATAACTTTTGCATGACACATGGGAGTGCGAGACAATAATCCGACTCAAATGAAAAAAATTGCGATACAAGGGACGATTGACGAAATTTTGATATAATTGATTTCAAGGTAGATAACTTGCTTACTTGTGCTGTGGTAATCAAACTTGAAGATGTTGTTTGGGTCGGCCCCAGCGGGTGAAACTTGCCGCTGAGGAACGATGTGTGCTGAACGAATATGATTCGGCTGACAACGAGGCATTTTCATGAAAATACAAAGCAGCAAAAAACATCAACAACATTCTACAACACTAAGGATATCATTTGACGGTTCCTCGAAAAGTGTTGTACGGCCAAAAAGCATGGCGACTATGGTGTCGGCTGTTCAGGCAAAATGCAATGCAGGTGCGTAACCGCCATGTGTCTATACTTCTACGCAACTAAATGTGACTTTACGATGGTAATGGTCTACAAGGATAGTCGTTATGTGAGCGAGTCAACCGAGAATTTAATACCAGTAGTGTAAGGTCGTAGCCTGGAGATTAAAAACTAAAGAAAATGAGCAAATTTTACGGTACATTCGACCGGATACGGGCTTCGCAGTACACAGTACACAAGGAAAAAGCGCAAAATAAGCTTGAGCGGCTGGTAGATGGCTGGAAGATCAAATTATGTTAAAGAAAATGCAACGTTTTTGTACTGGTGTAGGGGAAGAGGTCAAGGAAAAGAGTCCTACATAATTATATAGATTAAGCGATGTAGACTTGGAGAATAATTAGGTCGCGTGACTCGGTTATTGATTGTCTAACCGCCATTATGAGACAGTGCATTTTTTGTTGTACAAGGATAAAATATGCGTGACACGAAGCGTAACATGAAAACAGACTTTTTGGCAGGGGTTAATATGGTAATGAAGCTTCTAAGCTTCAGTTAGCGTTCCGACAAGCTTGATAGAAATGTCAAGAAGTTTATGGTCATATGGTTTGGCGACCAAGCGGCAATCAAGCTTGATGAGTCAAAACGAAGCATGGCATGTGCTAGCTTGCTGACGTTGTTTCAAGTTTTTGCCATTATGTGCAAAAGCATTGCAGACGTTTCCTCAGCCAAGCCAGACCAACTTATTTAACTCATCCGACATGTCATACCAATCAAAAAATGATAATCCAGAAGCTACACTAGCTTAAGTAAAATATACTTAAAACGACGACAACCCGGGAGACATGGGCAGCTCAGACGACGACGACTTGGCTGAAGCCGGTGACGGCGTTTGCATATCATTTCCACGTCAGGTGACGAGGCCGACACTGACAGCTTCTTTGTTGCACGGTCATACACCAACAGAGATGATATCATGTGAGTTGTTGTCGCCAACAATCACAACCATGGACGTACATTCAAGATCGAATTAAGTGATATCCGCAGATACAAAGCCGTTTGCGTTGATCCAGAGTGCAAAGTCGTCGTCTCATTTGCGTACGGAAGAGTCTTCGGGCCGCCGCGAGCTTTCTATTCTGGCATGTGCGACCCGAAGGGTGTCAACTTCGACGACCATGACGCCCCGACGCGATCTCAAAACAACGTACCTCGTACAAATGCGAAAAGTGCGTTTTTTTGTCATTGACAAGGGCCGGCATGCCATCCCAACTGATACCTACCAGAGTATGCTGAAAGGTAGTCTGCAAGTCATGTATCGAAGCTAAACTGAAGTTTGTAACCGGTTCAAAGCGACGCTGTTTGGAGAGACAGGTCGCAGTATCAGTCAAATGTGTCCTACATCCACAAAATGACATCCGTGGACATAAAGCGGATACCGAACTGCTCGACAACGTGATCACGCGTGTGGTGGTCGTCTATAAGCAAAGGATCCAAGTAGCGCTCGTGCAAGACGAACTGATTAGCAAGAGGCGAATAATATAATATTCACCTGCAGAATTTGTTCAAATTCATATTGAATATCAAAACTGTTCCTTATATTTAGTTTTGGTATATCTTCGAGATTAAAGTTTGGAGCTGGTATATAAAATGACTGTCCCCTTACACTAAAAAATCATCATTCAAAGAGAAAAATGGCTTAGATACCATGCTAAAAAACATTGGTTCACCGTTGCATTGAAGGCGTGTGCCATGGAGATGGAAGAACTCAAGCTGAAGAGATGGACTAACGGCAAGGAGGCTGTGCGAGCAATCAAAGATGTCGCACTGGCACAAGGGAAGTGTGCAATCGTCATCAACAGAGGGGGGACGATTCGTTTATTACAGTGTGACAGTGCTGGAGGATGTCACCTGATACCAATATCTGCATCGCTGTAGCATCAGTATCTGCTGTGACCTTGTTTAGTGACTAGTTTGGACTGGATTTTCCTGACTTTGAGACTGTGAATCTGAGCGTTTAGCGGCCTAGTTCCGAGTTGCGAGGTTGTGGTATGGGTAGCTACATGATATGGTAATCTGCTTGTGAATTATGCAGGACAAATGATCCACTCCAGTTTTTGCTGCATGTGCCTGAATGATAGACTCTGCTGTTGACCTTCCCCGTATTTTTCATAACAACGGTGATTAAAACACATTTGTATCACATCTCGCGAATATCTTCTGTTTGTATCACCTTTTGCAATAAACCTTTTTATTAATCTTTAGTCTGAGAAATTCTGAGTTGAGTATTCAAAATATACAATTTCCAGGAGCGAGAAGTTTAATAATGGCATTTGACACTGCAGGAGCGGCGAATCTGGAACAATTTACTCTACTTGCCAAGAATGCGCGTGGTCGAGCTTGCGTAGCATTGATCCAACAGGTTCTCAGTAATAAAAAACTGTTTGTGTTTCGAGAGCTGCTGGATATGCCCAATGTGGAGGCACTTAAGGATTCGGAGCATAAAGAACAGTACGAGTTGCTGCGTATATTCTGCTTCGGCACGTACAGTGACTATATTGGTATGTAGCATGTATTATCGAGCACATTTAGCGGGCTAGGTGGAGCTTATTTAGCGTTCTTGCTGCTGCAGAGCGGAAGGATGAGCTACCGGATCTCACGCCACAACAGGTGAACAAGCTAAGGAAACTGTCAGCGGTGTCACTCGCTCATCGATTCAAGGTAGCAAACCTTATGTTATTACTTAAAACTTGAAATCATAACTATGGTGGTTTGCGGCTTGACGCACGTAGAACATTCCGTATGACATAATGGTGCAAGAATTGGGTGTATCAACGGTGCGCGAGGTGGAAGATATTCTCATTGACACAATCTACTCCGTACGAGCTATCAGATCATTGATCTTGTCACGTGTGGTGCTATCGATCAGCAATGTGGTGATTTTGCTTTTATAATGTAGGGACTGATTCAAGGCAAGTTGGATCAAAAGTCGCGTTGTTTTGTTGTAAAGTACGCAGTTGGCCGTGATACATGTCGCGAGGATATCGACGATATGATCCAAAAGCTGTTAAACTGGAAACAGCAGTCTACTGAGATCTGCGAGAAAGTCAATGGTATTCTCATGTACGAAGCAATATAATTTCAAGTTGGAGTGGATTGAGCATATCTTGACACCCTTGCTACTTGCTGGTCGAGATCAGGTCGGCGGAGAAGCAGGAGGAAGATGAACGCACTCGAGAGGAAAGTATTTATTCTAGAATGGCAGTACGTGCAAGTGAGCGTGGAAAGGGTTTTGCCTCTAGTATGACGAGCCTTCGGGCAAGCGAAGATTTCTCTCCGTACGCAGAGGCCGGTGTTCGTCGAGGGTAAGTGACACGACTCGATGTGTATAAGTGATGTCTAAATTAAATTTGTGATCTTTAGAACTCTGTCCAAACAGCGCGTGCACTCAACTCGTCGTAAAGGGCGGATGTAGCTTTTGCATTGTATTAAAACAGGCGATCGTTTTTCACCAAATCATATCGCTTTATTTAAAAATGACCTCATTAATATTTACCTCCAGTCAATCTTGACTATGACTGCAGGTAATGGGCATCACCCTAGCACGCAGCGTAAGCGTTCAATGCAATCACTAAGTACAGGCACAATGCACCACCAAAAGAAACACCGGCATCGCTTTAACCACGGCAGTTCACCTGTCTCCGAGTTGCAACGCACTCGTCAGTGTCTCCCAATCTACGCTCACCGTAGTAAAATCATCGAGTCGATTAATTGCAATCAAGTAGTGATCCTCGTCGGTGAAACGGGTAGCGGCAAGACAACGCAAATTCCACAGTATATATGGGAAAATGACCGCAATCAAGCACGTGTAGCTATTACACAGCCACGTCGCGTTGCTGCCATTACAGTGTCTCAACGCGTGTGTGAGGAGGTTAATTGCGGACCGCTAGGTGACACTGTTGGCTATTGCGTACGGTTTGACGATACGACATCGAAAAACACGCGGTTGAAGTTTATGACGGATGGTATGCTGGTACGAGAGGCGTTGCTATCCCCGACGCTCGATAGGTACTCGGTGGTGGTGCTCGACGAGGCCCACGAACGTACGCTTCAAACGGACATTTTGTTTGGCATTGTCAAGCGCGCCATGCGCAATCGCAAAAACCTCAAGGTGGTGGTTATGTCGGCTACGCTAGATGTCGTGCTGTTTAAACGATTCTTTGATGACTTCAAGCCGGCGGTGATTCAAATTCCAGGTCGCATGTTCCAGGTGGATATGTTTTACACAGCCAAAACCCAACCAGATTACCTCGACTCGGCACTAGTCGCGGTGCTTCAGATTCATTTAGACGAGAAACTGAACGAAGGCAGTATTTTGGTGTTCCTTACGGGTCAGGAAGACATAGAGACACTGGAAACACTTCTTGAAGAGTACGCCCGATCTTTGCCTGCCGACGCACTAAAGCTCATGGTTTGTCCTATATTTGCTGCTATGCCGCGGGAACAGCAAATGAAGGTGTTTGAACCGGCGCCCGCAGGAGTGCGCAAAGTGATTTTAGCCACAAACATTGCAGAGACCTCGATCACGATCAACGGCATCCGTTATGTCATAGACACAGGGCTGGTCAAGCAGCGCTCGTTTATTGCTTCAAGCGGCATGGAAATGCTTCAGACGGAGTCAGTTTCCAAAGCCCAAGCGTGGCAGCGTACGGGTCGTGCCGGTAGAGAAGGTCCCGGCATCTGTTATCGCTTGTTTCCAGAGGAAACGTTTGAACAGCTTCCCGATCGCGCGATCCCAGACATTCAGCGCGTAAGTTTGGAAGTTGTGGTATTGCAGCTGAAATGTATGGGCATTAACGATGTGCTGGGCTTCGATTTCATCGAAAAGCCACTCAAGACATCTCTGATAAAGGCTTTGGAAAAGCTTTACGCGTTAAGTGCATTGAACAATCAAGGTAACCTGACGACACGGGGTCGACAAATGGCTGGTCTTCCTGTCGAGCCCATGTATGCCGTGATGCTACTCAAATCGACCGAACTAAGCTGTGCTGAAGAAGCACTGACAGTTGTGGCCATGCTTTCCGTGGAATCTGTCTTCTATTCTCCTAACGATCGAAAGGCGGAGGCAGCACAGTCTCGGGCGCGGTTTGTCGCGTACGAAGGAGACCAGGTCACACTATTGAATATTTATAATAGTTACGCACAGTGCAGCGCGAAGCAGCGCAACAAGTGGTGTTGCGACCACTTCATCAACCATCGTGCCATGACACGTGTCGAGAGCGTGCGGTCGCAGCTCAAAGGTTACTTGATGAAGCTAGGTTTATCTATTAGTTCGAGCTTCCCAGACATCGACCCGTTGCGCAAAAGCATTGTTGCCGGGTTTTTTCTAAACACAGCTATGCGTTCCGTTGCTGAGGGTCTCAATGGATCCAAGACGGCATACAAAACATTGTGTGGCCAATCTGAGATCGTCAAGGTGCACCCGTCATCGTCCCTGTTCATGCGCAATCCGCCCCCAAAATTGGTAGTCTACAATGAATTGGTTTTTACTAGCAAACATTATATTCGATCGGTGCTTGTAATTGAGAAGGAATGGCTGATTGAGCTGGCACCTGCCTTCTTCGCTCAGAAGAATAGCATCGAACAGAAGACAAAGATGAGCTAAAACAAATTGCATTTTTGTAATCTATTTTCATTTTTTTGATAACTTATACACGATCGCTTTGTGCGAGTGATATAATTTTCAGAGTTCTTCATTATAGGGCTTTGACTGCCAATCATTTCACAGCTGTGTAACGGGACGCTGTCCAAACTCTCAGTCCCTCGCTCGTTCACTTTATCCGACTGGTACGTAAGGAATTTCTGCCTAAATCGTCGCCGTCCGTTAGTCTGGCTAACAAAGCCCGCAGCTCATCGTTGCTCTTTCGAGACACACGTCTCATCCTATTGGGGCTATTGATTTAAACGCAGGCTTTTGGACGGTGGCCAGTCTCAACCATTTTTTTTGTCAGTCATTTGCAAGGTTAATGTATGATGATATATGAACATTGCAGAACCTCGTTACAATGGTCGCTTCTTCTGGTCAACCTACTCGTCTTTACGTCAAGGGTGTGTTCCTTGGGTACAAGCGTGGTCTGCGAAACCAGTACTCGCACACAGCCTTGGTCAAGATTCAGGGACTAACAGACAAGAAGGACGTGGACTTTTACCTGGGCAAGAAGATTGCTTACATTTATAAAGCTAAGTCTTTGAAGAATGGATCCAAGTTTCGCGTCGTGTGGGGTAAGGTGATGCGAGCTCACGGAAGCAATGGCGTCGTGCGTGCGAAGTTTGCCAAGAACCTTCCGGCTGAAGCCATGAGCAAGAGTGTGCGCGTTATGCTGTACCCCAGCCGCGTTTAATCGTATCGGTAGGGATTTGAGTAGCTCGAGCGATCTGTTTTTTTTGATTTGGAGCCCAATGACAACGAAGAGGATTGTGACAACACAAACATTGGACTCTACCGTTTCTAATAGGAGTCCTTGCTATTTTTCATGCTCACCGCTTACTTGTCGGCTTCAGTCCAAAACTTTTCCATTTAGAACAATTTTACTTGAATCACTCCATTATATATGCACGTAAAATTTATGGATACTGACTAGAAGAAATAAGTAGTACAATGATAAAACAGACGACAGAACATTCTTGTCCGCGACAAGTACTGATACCTCTACATCTCAAATTCTTCAAAGTGCACATCAAAGATACCGGCAAAGTTAGAAGCCTCTGTCTCTACAGCATGGATAAGGCCCATGGGTCCTGAAACCCACGTGCCGATGCCTGTAACGTTGACAGCAAAGTTATGCGATTGCTCTTTGACAACTTCGCTGAACAGCTCTTTGACATTTAACCTTGAACGACTTACAGGGTGATGAAATTCGACCTCCTGGCCATCAAATGAGAGCGAATGCGAATACTCTGAATATTGGCGATCATCAGCCATGGTCTCGTCCGGAGCGTAGTCGCCCGAGGTGGGAACCAGACCGGACTTCTCCCTATGGCTCATAGATCGAGGCATGGCCTCGGTGAACACCACTATCCAGCCGACAGCAGCACCAGCAATCATAATGAGAACCTCAACGACCCGCTGCATCGGCCACATATTTTGATTTACTCGCCCTTCGCCCAGTATGGGATAATTAAGACGAATGAGGAACAGGCCCAAAAAGCTGAAAGTAAAGATGACAAAGAAGAGCAGCATCTGACGTGGCACCGATCGCGATGACTGGTAGAATGGGCGGGTGGGAACCATGCTTGTATCGTTAAAAGGCTTAAGCGTGATACCATTGGGAATATCTACGCCGCCCAAATGCTGGTCACCCGTGAAACAGAGACGAACTTTGATTCGATCGTGATTCGGGTCGTATTGCTCGATAGCATCCAGCAGAGGCTCAAACTCGTAAAATATACCAATCTCACGCGACGTCCAATGAAAATAGACTTGTGTTGACTCCATGTTCGGATCATTATTGCGCATGCAGTCGAGAATCTTACCTACCAAACTGATTACGGGAGTTGCACCGATACCGCCAGCCACAAAGACAAGGGCCGGGTAGTGCTGAAAATCATCTGACATCTTGCCATAGAACCCATCAACATAAAATAGTGGCATTTTGCGCTCCTCTCGCGCCTGTATTGCGACCGCATACAGCGATTTTGTCCAGTTTCCAACACATTTGACATGCACAGTGAATGTATCTTCATATTCAATGGGTGAAGAACTGATACTGAACGGATGCCACTGTGTGTTTGACAACAACGGAGCTCGAAGATATACGAATTGGCCTGCATGGTAATGACCCGACTTACCGGGAGATCTTCGAAACACCAGTCGTGTAATTTCACCTGGAATAGCTTCAAGGTCCACAACTTCACACGGTATTCGGCTCTGGCTTCGAGCCAAGATTCGGTGCATGACATAAAGGCACACGGGTGGATACATCCATATGACAAATTGTGAAAAGTGTAGCGCACTGAAAAATAATACAAGAATAAAGAGATGATGGCAGTAGTAAAATAGGTCATAGTACTTGCGGCGAATCGGATTCAGTGATGTAACTCCAATAATTCCGCAGCACAGCAATGCTAACTGGCCGCAAAAGTTCTGTAAGCGCGCTTTGCCAACGGTTCCGTAGTCGCAATCCATACAAGGAAAAGCCGAATCAATGAACGTGCCGCTTTTCATCCACGCGTAATAGTATGGAATGGCGTGTAGTGCCACCATCGATATGGTGAAAAATCCGATCCAGCGATGATACTTGATGGCGTGCGAGTAATCAATGCCCAGAGAAATCATCCAAAACGAGTTGCGAGTTGCGGGGATAATCAGTATCGAAAAGCACAAGACAGCGTTGGATCCGAATACTTGACCCACGAGTCGAAAGACAGAAGCAGAGTCTGTTGACATGGCCTCTACGAGACCATCATAGTGGCGCGAGAACACGGCAGAAAACCAAATGGCATTCAGTCCTAAAAATACAAGCGTGCAAATGGACTCGGCGTACGAGATATTGATGGTTCCTACAAATATTTTACGCTTAAGGAAGCGCATGACTGTGCGATGACCTCCAGTTGGCACAGGTGGCAGCGCGTCACCCAAGGCAAGAGCCATACCACCAACCATAAAAGGCAATCCTATAAGCCAGTAATTGACAACAAACTCGACGATTTCACGATGCCCACCAACCCATTGCGCATTCTCAATGGAAGAACCAAAGAGTGAGTAGAGCTTGTAGCGAAAGCCTAAGCGGTACTCGGGCAACTGGTGATAAATGATAGCAAAAATGACAATGGTGGCACACCAACCGACAGTCACGAAAGGCCACGTTTTGTAATTTTTGTCTGTTGGTGTTCCATACACTGAATGCGCAGCGAGCTGTGATGGCTTGCCAGCCATGTTAGTACCGCTCATGCTAAGTGCAAAGAACTTGCTTTCGTTGCGATTGCTGCCTCCGTTCGTAGTGTAACCTGATGGTGGCTGACGCATGTCGAGCGAGTCCGCCGGCGAGTCAAGTACATGGCTGTCCATTGAGAGATTCACCATGATTGTTGCCTCGATCCGCCGAGTTCGTTAGTACCCGTCGAAAATCGATGGCTGGTCCTGTAAGTGTTGGCGACTGCAATGTTTTGAGCCCTGAATCGATGTCGTAGTCACGTATTATGTAGGCCAGAAGGTGTCGACTTGAGTGCGTTCAGTAATCGGATCCGCTGTTTGTGAAAGCGCTTGGGCTCCTTACGCAATTCGCCGACTGTCTGTCTTTTAGGGCAACAGATCACATGATATAGAATGTGGCAATAGCCAGATAGTCAGTGTGCGAGTAGTGTACTTTACATGAGCATACGTCTCACCGACATATCGACTCAATTTTATGTGCAAGTTTTAGAAGCTGCTGTTACCGCAGAGGCGACAAATTGCGACCACCACGACACAGTAAAAATCATATCGACATTTTTTGTAATGAGCGCAAGCAGGTTTGGAAGTGTGGATTGATAATAACACATAACGTGTTTCTCATTACACGATCAATCATTCGGCTGAGCTATCACAGAACGACGGGTGACTTGGCACCGTTGTTATTCCGCAGGTAAAGCCTTGCAAAATCCAATGCAGGTTTAAGGAACACTTATCAACCATGCGGCACGAAGTTAGAAGTCAAATGCAACATAAGCCTAAGACTACAACTGAGTAGAAGTCGCACACCAACAACCAAAAACGCAATCATCCTATCAGTTAAATTTCAAGCGGCAAAACCGAAATCTGATGATTACGTCCACCAATTCGAATTAAGCAGAATAAACAACTGCGCGACTTGCGATTTTCAATCGGTCCCAGTTCCTACAGTACATGTGTCACCAACCGCCATCATTACATCTGTACTTTGCAAATCTAGGACAAACTTTGACCCTATACTCTTCCTTCTTCCACCCATGCACCATTATCACTGTGGAACACCGCAGGACGGAATTCCTCTGCGCCGACTTATATCACCAAGTATTCTAAAGAGTGAGAGCAAGATCATACTACTTAATCTATTTTAGAAAAAGACGAAGTGTCTGACTTCTGAAACTTATTGTATAGGGCGAGTGGTGTATTATTGAACTTCTGCCATTCTTGCCCAATAACCGCCTGCTTATGGAAGTAATGTGCAACAGCTGGTGCAGTCTCTGTCGAGAGAGTGCGCCAATGCACACCTCGAACCACTGATCAATTGTCTTAATTAGCTTCGCACCAAGTCTAAACGAATTATTGATAGATGTCAAACGCCGTATCGCATCAACCAGACCTTCTGGCAAGATATTATGCTAATTGCTGACCTCTCGAAATAGGAAACCATAAATAGATGGAGACAACGACCACCGAAAGTACTCTGCCTGAATTTAAGACATTATTGTGTACGGGGGTGTCACTCGGAGCAAACGAGAATTTTTTTGCGGTGCGCTGGATGAAGTTTGTCGTCAAACAACACTTGGTCACACGCAGATCCATCCCTCGTCAACGCGCTTGGACACGAGCCGGACAACCAATACACTCATCGGTATGCCTGTGTTATCCCAGACGCGAGGCTCACCTTACGAAAGGTGTCATACATCGGCTGACACCAGAGGAGGGACAACTGATGCGAAATCCCATCAGTAATAAATTGGAATCAACGCTGACAATGTCAGTAAGGTATTTGTCGCCAAGAATATCGATCTCGTCATACGCAAAAATGCCATCAAGGATATTTGCCTTGGCGTGTTCCAGCTTCACACATTTCCAAGCTGGCATAATCGATGGTGCAAAATGTGTCACTTTACAATGCAGAGCGTGGTGACTTCACAACTGATTTTTGTAGCGATGTTTCCGACGGGAGTTAATGCCCTTGCAAAACTCTGAAGGAGACCTTCGCGGTCTAAAGTTTTTATGAATAAAGTGGACAATGGCTAGGGAATGTCTATGACTAACAAACTTTCATGTCCTTGAAACTCACTTTTCTATAAGTTGAATTAAGTTGATCCGTATCTCGATAGGAAGACTATTGAGAAACGCACATTTAACAAGAGCGGCAAACATTTGCTGAGCGGAGATTGCCGAAATTATAGACCATAACGAGACCAGCTGTAAACCTGACGAGGATTCTGGATGTAACCGTAATGCAGATTTGATTTGTGCGTCATATTAAACAGCAGACAACGCTAAAGATAGTGGCTGATCACACAGTACAAGCTTTCGCATCATGGCCACCAAAAGTGAACGCCAATAGAACAATTAATAAGGTTATCATTTGTTTTCCCAAAGCGGATCGGAACTGGAAAAGGCTGCATTAGTGTTAATACCCCGGTTTCCGCAAGCCTCTAAACACAAATAATAACGTGCACTTA